CGGTGTCCAAGACACCATTGCAAACATCTTGGTGATATGAGTACCTATTGAATTAGAGGACACGTATAATAATTAAATATTTTGAGAAGTCCATAATGAGTAACAAAAAAACCAGAAAGTGGGAATAAATTGGTGATATTTTGTTTAGATGCATCTATTATTTAAGATGTAAGAAGCTGTTATTTTTCTATGCACAGGCCAATTCGAAGTTAGCCACTGGTTATGGTCCCAAAGAAATTGAAAAAAGAAAAGAAAAACAGAACCACTCTGGTCGGTTGACTCAGTTCCAGTCTTATTTTGGCAAAACTGTACCAGGTTTGGTCAACCTCCAGTGATGGTATTTAATTGATCATAATAACTGTATTTAAATTCACCAGATAGTACATTAAAGGCCCACAGAAAATATGTTTTCCAGAAACGTAGAGGAATGGGTTCGCTGGAGTTTTTGGTTATTGAGTTAAACGTAGAAGTTATTCTTATTAAATAAATGCATTAAAAACTCTAAACCATTGTATTTCATATTAATGAGTTCAGAGTTCACATAAAAAACAGTTTAGAAGGCTTTGCGTCTAACAAGAAGTATGCTTAACTGATTGAGAATATTTAGATGTATTTAGAGATTAAAGAAAACAGAATCTTGAAATACTTTTACAAAGATCAAAGTGGTTCAAAAATCATACATCGAAGCTACTTTTACATCTTTGTCATTCTTCATTCTTCATAAATATAACTCTATATACATATGTATGAGTTTTTTTGGGGTACAAATATATTTTTTGAAGTTGGAAATAGTTGGAGATGAATAATAGTGAACACCCTCCCTTGAAGATGAAACTATGACAAAGAGTAGCTTAATTTATTGAAAACTCTAATGAAAACAATATTTTGAAGTCTATTGAAAACTACTCCAATAGACGAATAGTAGTGAACACCCTCCATTGAACACTTAGTTGGAAATACTCTACGGAGATTACTGGATGACATTTGACAATTTTTTTTGATAATAATAATATTTAAATAATCTCAATAGTGAACACCCTACTCCAGTCTACTCTTATTGGTTTGAACAAAAAACCCTAGTTTCAGACCACCCATCGACCATCATTCTTAACGCAGAACAATTGCTAGGAATAGGGGAAGAAGTAATGACAGTCACATTCGACTCAAAGGAAACGAAAATGGTTTAATCGCCTAAATCCAAGCTGGTTACGGCAGAAACAAGGTGCGAAGAACGCCGACCATGTTTAATCGAGACGGGGAAAAAATGAAGCTACAAAGTTGCAATTTTTGAGCGAAACATACCTTGTTTAGCATGAACTTGTTTCACATGACTTTTTTTCGCCAACCCAAGGTCACCTCGTCTTGGAGTAGACATTTTCGCTGGGGAGATACTTGTGTGCGGCCAAAGATGAAAGGAAATAATGAAGTTACAAAGGTTTAAAGAGAGAGGGGGCATTTTAGTACATTCATAAAAAACATCAATAATCATTTTTTTACCAAACACTCCAATTTTAACACTTTTTTTAATCACTTTTTTCCAAACACTATCAGTTTTTACAATTAATCACTTCTCCACGTTCATTAAAAATAGCACTTTTTTTTAAGTGAAGCAGTTGCAAACAGACCCTAAAAAACTGTTTTTGGCTTTCGGCTTCTGGCGAACGGAGAAGTGGTCCGCTGCAAACACTTATTTCGACTCCTGCTTTCAGAAAAGCCCAAAAGTGCTTTTCAAAAGCATTTGCAAACCAGCCTTTAGTAATCGGACGAGTAAAAGGTCAGATTGGTCCTCGAAGTTGCATAAAAAGGGTCAAATAAGTCCTTATATAGGAGGCTCTGTCCGCGCGTCGCCATTTGGGGCGGTTCTCGGTGGAATTTTTTGATGAAATTTTTTTAGCATCTTATTCATTAAGTCTAGTTTACTCATACCAAATTTCAGCTAAAACTTCAATCGGGAAGGCATTCAAATGAAGTCTTGAAGATAACTGCGCAGTTAAAAGCGCAATTATCTTCAAGAATTCATTTGAATGTCTTCCCGATTGAAGTTTTAGCTGAAATTTGGTATGAATAAACTAGACTTAACGAATAAGATGCTCAAATAAAAAAAATTCCACCGGGAACCGCCCCAAATGGCGATGGCCGGACAGTAAAGACTTATTTGACCCCTTTTATGCAATATCGATCACCAATCTGGACCCTTAGAAGCTGTTCTCTTCGCCTGATCTGAATGTTTCTGATCTGAATTTTTTAAGTTCTGATCTGATCTGATCTGAATTTTTCTGATCTGATCTGATCTGATCTGAATCTTTCTGATCTGATCTGATCTGATCTGAATCTTTCTGATCTGATCTGATCTGATCTGATCTGAATCTTTCTGATCTGATCTGAATGTTTCTGATCTGATCTGAATCCTTCTGATCTGAATCTTTCTGATCTGATCTGATTTGAATATTTCTATGATTATAATTATAATTATAATTATAATTATTATAATTTCAATTACAAATATAATTTAAATAAAATTATAATTATAATCGTAACTATAAAAATAATAATAATAATAATTAAAATTAAATTTAAAATGAAAAAATTTATACTTATTACACTAATTATAAATATAGATATAATTATAATTGTAATTATATTTTTAATTATAATTACTTATATAATTATAATTGTAATTATGATTACAATATTTATCTCTATAATTGTAACTATAGTTATCAATATTATTACAATTACTCCGTAAAATAATTACAATAGTAATAATAATAATAATAATAATATTAATAATTATAATCATAAATTATAATTATAAGTATAATTATAATTATTATAATTATAATTAATAAAAATTATAATTATATTAACATTAATTATAATATTATAATATAATAATAGTAATATAAATACAATTAATATTATAATAATGATATTATTATATTCATATTATTATTACAATAATATAATAATAATAATATGATTATTATTATTATTATAATTAGTATTATATTATTATAATATTATATTATAATTATAATTATAATCATAATTATAATTATGATTGTAATTATAATTATAATTATTATAATTATAATTAATTACAATTATAATTATAAATATTTATAGATATAATTATAATAAATACAATTGATTATACTTATAATTATAAGAATTATAATTGTAATTATAATTATAATTACATATAATTATAATATAATATTATATTAACATTAATCATATTATTATTATATTGTAATAATAATAATAACAATAATAATGATAACGATAATGATAATGATAATGATAATGATAATGATAATGCTAATGATAATGATAATGATAATGATAATGATAATGATAATGATAATGATAATGATAATGATAATGATAATGATAATGATAATGATAATGATCATGATGATCATGATGATGATGATGATGATGATGATGATGATGATGATGATGATGATAATAATAATAATAATAATAATAGTTATCTTAATAATTACATTTATATTACTATTATTATATTAAAATATTATAACTATTATTAATATCTTATTTTTTTTATCATATTATTATTAATATTATTAATAATAATTATATAATAATAATAATCATAATTGTAATAACAATATTAATAATAATAATTAATATAATAATAAAAGTGATAAATCATGTTTGAACTTTTCTGATCTGATCTGATCTGAATGTTTCTGATCTGATCTGAATGTTTCTGATCTGGTCTGATCTGATCTGAATCTTTCTGATCTGATCTGAATCTTTCTGATCTGATCTGATCTGATCTGAATCTTTCTGATCTGATCTGATCTGATCTGAATTTTTCTGATCTGATCTGATCTGATCTGAATTTTTCTGATCTGATCTGATCTGATCTGAATAAAATAAGAATAAGCAATAAGTAATAAGAATAAGACGAACAGAACAGCACCTTAGTTGAATCCAACCTATTTGATCATATGTTTGCGAGTTTTGCTAGGTGTACACATTTTGTGTACACAAAATATGTACATATGTCTGTCTGAAAATTTGTTTGTTACATACAACTGTTTTTGAGTTGTAAAATTTTTCCATGTTTGCTGCGTTGTTATTTTACCATAGACATCTTTCAAAATAGGGAAAACAGTCAAATAGGCCCCCCTACTACTCCAAAAAAGTCAATCAAACCCCCCAACTTAAAAAACACCCAATCAAACCCATAAACTCAAAAAAAAATGTCAAATTGGCCCTTTAGCAGGTGGTCTCCCAGTTCCCGGTAAACTGCTCATGTGTCATGTGAGGTGGCCTTAAGAAAAATCCTCTTTTCTTTTTGTTCTCTCCAGCAACCTGCGCAGCTCCACTTCTTGCCTCTACAGCCCACAGGCGTTGCAGACGAGCTCTGGTTCTATCATGGAGACGGTGAACGGCGGAGACGGCGAATAGCGTTGGAGACGAGCTTGCGTTTGACTTTTGCTATCGCCGGAAAGGGGTGGTCCCTCAGGGTTGCTCGTTGGACGGTCGCTGGCACAGATCTGTCCCGCCGGTGGATCTTAACACTTGTTGCTCGTTGGTGGTCTTCATCAATGGGGAAAGAAAAAGAAATAAAGAAAGAAAGAAACCACCGCCGGAGATGAGGTGGTTCCGATGTGCGTTGGACGGCAGGGGCACGAATTTGGTCACCAACTGGCTGCTGCCATCTTCATAGTCGCTAGTCATCTTGTCTTCTTCACTGGGGAAAGACAGACAAAGAAAAACAGAGAAAAAAAGAAAAGTGGGTGGAAAACAGAAAAAGAAAAAGAAAAATTAAATTTAAAAGCCACATATTAGCTAGAGTTCACCGGGTAACTGGAAGCTTACAGGTTAAAAGGTTAATTTGATTTTTTTTTTGGAGTTTGTGAGTTTAATTGAGTGTTTTTTTAGTTGGGGGGTTCAATTGACTTTTTTAGGGTAGTAGGGGGCTTATTTGACAGTTTTCCCTTCAAAATAAATGTTGGGGATACCCCTTCATTGACATCTGTCGGACACACACACCCTCAGCTATGGTGAATCCCTCATCCTCATTGACTTGCACGAAAGTTACGTTGCTGACAGTGTTAGCGATCGCAATACAAATCACTGGTCTATGTCTCTTCATTTTGGGCTTCTTTCCCGTTACGCCTACTCTCTCTGGCGTCAGGTACGTACTTTCCTTTTGAGTTAAAACTAGGGATGGCAACAGGTAAAACTAGGGTTTGGGGCGGGGTTTCACTCCCCCATCCCGCCCCATGTCTAAAAAGTTTTCCCCATCCCCGCACCATCCCCGTCACTCCCAAACCCGCTCCATCCCCGCCCCACCCTGCTGCCCCCACGGGTGCCCACGAGTGCCCCATATATATTTTAATTATCTTATTTGTGTATTTTTTAATCCATTTTATAGATAAATAAATATATATAAAGAACTGAAAGAGTTAAACTAGATAATATTGTGTTCGATAAAGGATGATACCGCCAATTTTTAATAATTCTTCAATTTGAATAAATTCTATGAAGATAATAAAACTAAAAGTATAAATAAACATATTACCATCATGTATGTCGTTCCAAATTTCTCATCAATTATACTACAATTAATTATATATATTATACATGTGTGTGTTCTATTTACTTAGTTTCTCACTTTTAAAACTCATATATCATTTATGATAAATATTTTTAGTCATTACCTATTATTCTAATATAATACTTACGTAGTATTAGTACATGTATGCATGTCTATAAGTATGTGTATGTGTTTGTTATATACTCCCTCCGTCCCCTTAAGTTTGTCCCGTTTTACCTTTTTCGTCCGTCCCACTAAGTTTGTCCCATACCATACTTGGTAACATTTGAGTGGTTAGAATTCATTCTTACTTTATTTACACTTTATCAATTCAATACCAACCACACAATTCCACTTTTTCTTAAAAACCACACCGCACCCCTCCGTCCCAAACTTAGGGGGACGGAGGGAGTAGTACATATAATTTAATTAAATATGTTTATACATTATTAATATATGCATGTATATATATATATATATATATATATATATATATATATCTTTGAGTATATATTTATAAGTATATATTTATAACGGGGACGGGACGGGGACGGGGCGGGGACGGGGCGGGGACGGGGCGGGTGTAGTAATCCCCATCCCCGCCCCATATTTTAGCGGGGTAGAAATATCTCACTCATCCCCGCCCCCGCCCCACCCCAAGCCCCGTCCCATCCTTCCCCCACGGGGCGGTTCCCCACCCCGCCCCCATTGCCATCCTTAGTTAAAACCCAATCTCAAAACAACTATGAATTTCTACATATCTTAAAAAAAGAGTTACTTTCCCGGAACATTTAAATTTAGAGGCGTGAGGTGGGGGTAAAGTTTGAATGACAGGCCTCACTCTTTGAACTGGCGCGAATAGGGGAAGTCTATTGTATAACATTTTAGATTTTTTTTGATAATTTCTACTCAGTATTGTATCATGATATACAAAGAAAAAGAATATATGTTAAAAAAAACTAATATGTAATTAAGCATAATTACATATTTTTGTTCAATTTTTACAATTAATATGTAATTTTGACGAATGAAATGTACAAATACAAACTACGTAGTAATATATTGCTACTTTTTATTGCTCCGTATAAAATTACATATACAACATTTTTATAGATTTTTTTTTTTTAAAACTAATCAATTTTTTCGCTGCAAAAAACAGTTTATCTAAAAATTACAGGCTTTACAGCCTTTTCAGGCTTAGTGGTCAACTCTCCTGTTGATCGTCTTTTCATGCTTTTCTACTATGCAGGGCGTTTTCCATCGCCTCATGCCTATCCCCACCTCTTTGCGCCTTTTGAAACACTGATACTAATGGTCATTTTCCTTTTTAGTACCTTATAATTTTCTTTCTTTTCCAACTTCAGCGGATTGGAGAGCTTTTATCCACCAGGCTCGAGTTCATTTGAAAATAAAAATGAGACCATTTTGCCTAATCAGCTTAAATCCTTGTATCAGGTGTTTTACATTTATATGCATACATAGATAAGAGTAATATCAGGTCGACAGTTCTTTTCAGCTATGCTTTGTTTTTTAAATTTCTTTTAATATTTATTGCATAATCTGCTAAATGACGTTTTATGTTTTTTAGGATAGTAATTGTTTGCACATTTTCGGCAGTTAATTGGTGGATTTTGTGAACGCAGGAGCTGTCTGAGGTGCCTCCATTTTTTGACAGGTTGATACTGCTGGTATGAGTTTTGGGTTCCTGTATATTATTGTTTGGCCAATCTGATAGTTGTTATAGTTGGTCTAGTTTATCACAGTTCACAAATAGTCTCAAATTTAGGTAATTGATGGCCTTCCTGCTGAATTTGTGCTCGGAAAAGATGGGCATTCTCCTCCTGAAGCTCTCAAGGAGGCTATGCCATACACTCAATCTTTATTGGATCAGGGAAGAGGCATTGGCTACCATGCAAAGGCTGCACCTCCAACTGTCACTATGCCTCGCTTGAAGGTAGATTGATTCATGCTCTCTCTTGTGTGTGTAGTATAGTGCATTCTGAAGTTTAACATGTGTACTTTTCAAGCAGGCCATGGTTTCTGGCGCGATTGGGGGCTTTTTGGATGTTGCTTTTAATTTCAACACTCAAGCTCTCTTAGAAGACAACATTATTGGTGATGTCAAAATACATTTTTCAAATTTAGCTCAGTCGTTGCATTTCGTGTTACCCTTACTTCATCAGCTCTAAAACTATTTTGCTATACAGTTCAATTTCTTAGAGTTGGTTGGAAGATGGTGATGCATGGTGATGAAACATGGCTGAAGTTATTTCCGGGAATGTTTGTGAGGCATGATGGTGTTAGCAGTTTCTTTGTGAGTCTATTAGCATTTAACAGCCAAGACATTTCAACTATGCTTATTAGCAAAGTCCCATCCATGCATGGGTTCTTTATAATATTGTTTTTTTAGACAAGTGAATAGATCCTTTAAAAAAAGACAAGTGAATAGACCATACCTATGCTTACCGTCTCTCTCTTATGATCTATAATCTATTTACCCATCGCGTCGTAGGCGAGCCTGTGCTCGTTTTATCTGTTCTAATATTTTTGAATCTGAAATTTCTATTTAGTAAATACCATATACTCCCTCCGTATTTGAAAGTTCCCTACACTTTCCTTTTTGGGCTGTATTTAAAAGTTCCCAACACTTCCATTTTTGGTAAGTTTACCCTTTACAAAATACTCAACTACCCTTACTTTATCTACTTTTTATCTCCTCTTTCATACTTTTACACTCTATCTCCTACTTTTTTGACACTATTTACTACCCCTACTACTTTACTTCTTAAATAATGTGTCCAACCTAATGTAGTGAGCATTAAAATACGGAGAGAGTATGTATTTTATGAGTATATAACTTTAACTCATCAACTCTAATCTTAATATATATAAATTACATTGTAGTGATTACCTTGATCCAGTTGATGTTGTACCAGCCGGACATATGTATATTTTAGGAAAATAGAGATTATTAATAAGAAAGTAGAAAATTACAAGAAAGAGGAACGGGAGAATGTGAAAACAACAAGAGAAGGGGAGAGCAAAGAAGGAGAAAGAAAAAGAAAAAACCTAACCCACAATACTGTGAAATAATGAAACAGGATACCCTCTAAAGGGCCCTGACAGATATATTTATAGGGAAAAAGTTTAATGTAAAAATACATAAATATCCTTATTCTATTACACCCCCTCAAGCTGTGCGGAAGATACAACGCACATGTTGTCCTTTAAGAAATGAAAACGCTGACTAGGGAGGCTCTTTGTAAAAATATCTGCCAGCTGCAAGTGAGTAGGAACATGTCTAACAATAAGATCTCCATGAGCGACTCGTTCACGAACAAAATGGTAGTCAATTTGGATGTGCTTACTTCGAGCATGCTGGACTAGATTAACAGACAAATAGGAAGCAGAAATATTATCACATAATAATTGGACAGGTTCGGTCACCAGGAAACCGAGTGCAAATAAGATTGACCGAACATGTAATGTATCCTGTACGGTGTAGGCAATCGCATGATACTCAGCTTCCGTAGAGGACTTTGACACAGTAGGCTGCTTCTTTGACTTCCATGATATGAGATTCGGTCTTTGAAATACAACAAATCCAGTGGTGGAGCGAGAACTATCTGGACATCCAGCCCAATCAGCATCAGAATAAGCGACAACACAAGTAGGCTTGGCCGAACGCTGGAGCGATAAACCATGATCACGTGAGCCCTGCAGGTACCTGAAAATTCTTTTGACTGCAAAAAAAAAGAGTAGTACGTGGGGCATGCATAAATTGAGACATCAAGTGTACTGCATAAGTAATATCAGGCCGTGTCGAAGTTAAATATTGCAACACACTTACCATGCTGCGATACTCAGTGGAGTCTGAAAGTAGCTCACCGTCAGACAGAGATAACGTGGTGCGAGACACTAATGGAGTGCGAACAGGTTTAACCGTATGAAGATGGAAACAATTAAGAAGATCAGAAATGTACTTATGCTGAGAGAGAAATAGACCTTGATCGGTCCGATGCGCCTCAATCCCCAAGAAGTAATGTAAGTTACCCAAATCCTTCATGGAAAAATGATTAGAAATAATAGAGATGAACTGAAAACAACGGATTCAGAATTACCAGTAATAATAATATCATCTACATATAATAATAAATAAATGATAGTATTATTATGGCGATAGATGAAGAGAGAATTATCAGACTTACTGAGCCACATGATAAACAGATTTTAAAGTAAGCGGACGACCAGATGAAGGTAAGACAACATCACCAACATGACAAATGGGTATATGGACACCATTGACAACACTAACAGAATTATAGCCGGTGTAAACAGATTTATTAAATAAATTATCTTCAGATGCAGTCATATGATCAGATGCTCCCGAATCAGGATACCATAAGGCCGAATTAGATTCACCAGAAGTTGTCAACATAGCCGGAGCAGATGGTTGAGTGAAACAAGATGGGCTTGTAAGGGCTGAGTGACCTGCAGAGAAACAGATTTGACAAACAACAGGATGAGGAACTGCACCAAGAATACCCCCATCTACCCCCATCTGATGACGAGCCTGCAGATCCAAAGTTAGTAGCACAGACAGGTAATGCATAAATATTTAATTGTGACACAGAAGAATAACCAAATACAATACCCGGTGAACCCGCACCCCCTGCCGATGTGCTGCCTCCAACTGCAGACGCCGGTGACGAGACAGATGGTGAACCGGTTGGAAGGGAGAGACCAGCAGTTGTTGTTGAACCAGAAGACGCCACCGTAAAGCTAGGCGAAGCAGACACACCAACCGAGGCCAAAGAGGAGGCGGTGGCGGCGGTTGCTGCAGAGGCGGAAGAAGCGAAAGACATGGCGGCTGCTTTTTAGGGTTAGCCGAAAAAAATAAAAAATTTAGAGAGAAGGTTGTGCTCTTGATACCATGTGAAATAATGAAACAAGATACCCTCTGAAGGGCTCTAAAGGGCCCTGACAGATATATTTATAGGGAAAGAGTTTAATGTAAAAATACATAAATATCCTTGTTCTATTAAATACAACATATAGTCCCTCCTAAGATAACCCTTAGTCTTCGTCAAATACTCAAAACTTCACTCGTGTTTGGGATCAAGTTCTCATAAGATGCAATCACTGCTTCTTTAGTTCTTTTTCCTATACATCTTAATTTGAGTGCAAGGTTGTTAAAATCGTATTTTTGGATTGAATCGGTGCATACATTTAAAAATCGAATCGTTAAATCGAATCGTAAATCGTAAGATTTTATATAAAGTAAAAAATAAAAATATTTATAATATTAGATGAAAGGAAACAATCAATTTAACATTTGTAAGTCAAACAAGAGGTATTACTTTTACAATCTTGTGTCAATAAAAGCTCAAAATAAGTGATTAGTTAACAAAAGTTTAAGTCTAAGCTCTAACGAATCGGAATATTATACGGAGTATATGGGAGTTGATAGTTATGTTGTTCAAAATATCTGTTGTTAGTGCTTTGATAAAGCTGAGGCGCTAGGTAAACTTTACACGTGGGTTTGAATCCCTTCAAGGCTTCAACAACGACGGCTGAAGTTTTACTCTTCAATTTTGTTCTTCGTCTCAATTATTTGGCGTCCCACGCCGGATCAAGAAGGATTTTCCGCTTCTCTATACTCTTATAAATTATGTTCTCCTTTACTTAACGTAGCAGCGAAAAAGACTCTAACCCTATACTATGTCGTCGGGCCTTGATCTGGGCCTGATAGAGTCGAGCATTGCTTGACATTCAAATCCTAAAGTCGTTTGGAAATCGCGATTTTTAGCGATTTTAACGACTCAATTGCGATTTTTTTCCGATTTGTAGTAAAAACGGTTTTGCATACGAGTTGAATTGGTTGGATGGTTTTGAATCGTAAAATCGTACGATTTTACGATTCAAATCGTGATTTTAACAACCTTGTTTGAGTGTTGAGATTGTCTGTAGGTAGACAATTTTCTCCTTTGACCATTAAGGCTTTGCTACAAATATTCTGATTTGTATCAGCATCCCATAAATCCTCCATCAATGAAATATGAGCTCTTTTCTCACATTTCAAAGTGTGGCCATGAAAATCATCCCCCGAATGTGTACAGAACTGCTCTTAAAAAGCTCCCTCACAGTAAAAAAAGCTTCAGTATACCGGTCACTTGAAAAAATGTCCCTTGAAAAATCTTTGTTTGCATAGCTAATATCTTTATCTTTGTGAGCAGGTCTCTTTTCTAAATTTTCCCGCGTATTCAAAGAAGATGCAAGGATTCTTTTAAATTCTTTAATTAAAAATTGAGAAAGTGAATCAACCCTTTACGACATAGTAATCTGAAAGAAATCCTTAATGTGTGCTAATGAAGAGTCATGTTCAGGTGTAAGCTCAAAGTTATTATCCTCGATAGAAGATTCAAAGGATGAAGAATGTTCAATATCAACTTGTAACAGTTTTCTCAAAATAGAATCATTCTGATGTGAGTGGTCCCTGTCCAAGGTGACAAGGTTCCACTCAAAGTTAGAGCTTTTACCTGAAAAATCCTCACAAGAAGGTTCAAGCACTAGAGTTGTCTGTTTGGCTGCAAATTCTTTCAACAAAGTATGTGCTCTAATTTTTCCAGAAAAAGGTTAATCCTCAATCCGTTCCTTCCCTTAGGTATAAATAAAGAAGCCCTACCTTTTCCAATGACGGTAGAAACCGCCAAAGAAATTAGCATCATGAAGAATACAAAGTGAATTCTTCAAGTCAAATCTATTGCAAGACCAATTATCAGGTAGTAGTTTGGATATGAAATCCTTCAGCCAAGTTATTCTATCGATACCGAGATCAACCGCAAACGGAAACTCATATTTTGATTCAGATATGCGGATTGTATTGCCATCAACAATATAGAAACAAAAATATTTGCTTTGAATCTTGGTTTTAAAAGGCATGAGGCGGCTTGAGGCGATTTCATCGAGTTACCCGAGGCGCGAGGCGCTAGGCGATGAGGCGCTCGCCTCACAGATCTCAACCACATTTCTTTGGTGAAATATTTTTATAGTACTTCTACATGAAGCACTCTTCTCAAAAATACTTCAAACTATTAAACAATCTTAATAAACATCATAAGAGAAACAAATATTTATTAAAGACGATAAGACAGAAGCAAGAATTCCAAATATATACGTACTGTTTATGTAAAATCAATGTACTGTTAAACTACTTTTGTTATATAGGCTATTTTAACAATTATTTTTTCATCCTTTTAATGTACGTTAAATTATATAGTATTATCATTGTTATGTAATAAACTATAAAAATAA